GTATTGCTTCCAGAACTCTCTGAAGGGCTGGTTTTGTGGACATGAATTCCTTCAGCCTATTTGTGTCATGGAAGATTTTTCTTTCCTCTTTCAGTATAATAGATATTTTGGCCTGGTATAGTAATCTGGGTTGGCATCTGTGGTCATTTAAAACTGGATATTCTTTGGTCCAGGCTCTTCTGGCTTTCATAGTTTGCACTGAAAAGTCAGCTGTAATTCTAACAGGTTTTCCTTTATATGCGACTTGTTGTTTCTCTTTTCCAGGTTTCCGTATTGTCTCTTTGTTTTGTACGTGTAGTGTTTTTACTGTGATGGCCTATGGAGAGTTTCTTTTCTGGTCCTGTCTATTTGGTGTTCTATATTCTTCTTGTATTTGTATGGGCATGGCTTTCTTTAATTTGGGGAAATTTTCTTCCATGATTCTGTTGATGACCTGGTCCATGCCATTTTCTTGGGATTCTTCTCCTTCCTCTATGTTTATGATTCATAAGTTTGGTCTTTTATGGTGTCACACAATTCCCGCATATTCCATTCTTGTGATTTCTTAAATTTTTCATAATCTTTCCTTGAGTGGTCTAGTTCATCAGCTTTATCTTCCAGTCTTGATACTCTGTTTTCCATTTCATTCCTTCTATTGGTGAGACTTTCTCCTGCTATATCTAATTAGCTTACTGAGTGTTTCACTTCCTTCTTCATTTCAGCCTGAGTAGTCTTCAATATTTCTAACTCTTTTCTGAATTCATTCAGAAGTTTATCCCTATCTTCCTTCAGTTCTTTGATTTTTTGTGTGTTCTTTAAATTCACTAATGTTTATAATTGTTCTTTTGAGTTCCATGTCCTGCATTATCTCTAGGGAGTTCTCATTGTACTCCTCTAGAAGACTATTGGTATTTGGTGGGGATATGTTATCTCAGTTTTTCATGTTATTATTTTTTTCTCTGTGATTTTGACATGTGAATTTCTTTTGTAGTGTCTGATTCTTGTGTGAGACCCAAGCCTTCAAGTTTACGTCTGCTTCTTTTTGTGAACTTTATGTGTCTTTGTCGTTTACTTTTTGGGCATGAAAGGCTGGTTCCTCTAGGTTTCTCCTTCCCTCTTTTGATTTTATATTGGAGTGGCCAGATTGCTTTTGTCTTCAGGAGTTCCCACAGAGGCTCAAGTCAGATGAGGATCAGATGCTCTGAGGCTTTCTCCTGATGCCTGGATCCCTCCAGGAAAGATTTTGGCCTCAGAAATTTGGAGGTTGGACTGGTCTGGGAGCTGGTCCCAGAAAGATGCTGGTCTAGGGCAGCTGGTGGCTGTGCAACCCAGAGATGCAAAGGAAGATGGGGGTGGGAAGCAGTCCCAAGGGCTACTGGAGTGCACTGAGGAGCTGGGTTGACTGGATGCAAAGGATCAGGAAGAGGAAAGGTCAGCCCTGGCATCCAGGAAAGAGACTGGCCAGTGGTGCAGGCCCAGGGCAGTAAAGGGAGGTGAGGGCAGGGCCAGGCCCAGAGTGCTCCTGGGGACGGGAGAAGAAACTTAGTTGGTCTGGATGCAAAGGATCAGGCAGCAGTGTTAGTTCCCCAGGTGTCTGGGGTGCCAAGATAAGGAATGGGACAGGACCCAGGATAGGACGAGAGACCTGCGGGGGAGATGGGAGGGTGAACAATGCTGGGGGAGTCAAGGCGCCCAGAGGGAGCGGTCAACTTACCCTGGAGAGAGAGGCCTGCAGGTAGGAGAAAGGCCTGCAGGTCGTGCCAGCCCAGGGAAGCAGAGCGATATTAAATATTTTTTTAAAAAAATGTGTCTACATACACATTCTTAGGGCTTGGAGTTGAGGTCACAAACTGGCCGATGAACTCACATGTGTAGGTAGTGTGCTACATGAGTGGCAATTTTTCACTAACACTCCTCTATGGCCTGTGAGTGGAGTTTGATAGTAACCTTTGCTACAAGTACAAATTGAAAAAAATGTGTCTACTTGCTATGCATACATTTCTTTCAGAGATATATCTCAATTTTTTTTTTTTTTTTTTTTTTTTACTGCTTTTAAGTTGATGGTTTACTTACTATTGATACTTTCAGGGTTTTTTTTTTTTTCCTGCATTTTGGATACAAGTTCTTTTTCATAAATATGATGAGCAAGTATTTTCTTCCAGGCTGTAGATTGCAATTTTATTGTTTGAATTATTTTTAGTTTTGTCTTATGAACTATATTTCATGTGACTTGTTTTCTTATTTTGCTTTTTCCTTTCTGCTTTTTTAAAAAAAAAAAAAAAAAAAAAAAAAAAACACAGGGAAGTCTGTGCATGTCTGCTGGAATGAAAACTCCCAAAAGATGGGAACTGGTGATTTCTAACACAACTTTTGTTAATTTTGATTTCATCAACTGTGTGGCAATCAGAACTTGTTCTGGCTGTTCCCAAGGACAAGGTAAGTTAGAACAGACAGGACAGATGGTAAATAAGACCAATACTCAAGTGAATATGACAAATAGTGGCAAGGTCTTTCTAAGTCAATATTTCTTTCAGTTGCAAGATTATATCAGTAGAAACTGTTGTTCCAATATCATGAACACAGTTCTCCAGGAGGCCAGGGGTGCTCCATGTGCAGCCTTCTGCAGTGTCCATCCTCTGCCTGTCTTGCTGACCATCAGATTCTGTGATTATGTGTTGTGACTCAGCTGGACTCTGAACTTCATAAAGTGGAGACCACAAATCTATTGGTTGGGTTTTTGTTTTTCTTTTCAACTGGCACACAATACAGAGCCTAGTGCCTAGCAGGAGGTTCATTAATAAATTAATAAATGGCATTAGATAAATGGGTGGATGGATGGACACATGGGCATAAACTGGCCTACGTATTAACTCCTCTGAAAGAGCCAGAGTTCTGGTTCTTAATGTTCTCAACAGTTTAAGTTGTGATGTATGCACAAAGAAAACAAGGGGAATTCCTGCTTATTTGCTAACTGTTAACCGCCACACAGAGTGGTGAGAAATACCTCCTCTGAGGTCTCATGGGCCAACGTAAAAAGAGGCAGCAAGCAATCGAGTTGATCTGATCACGGTAAACAGCCAAACCAAGTAATTCAAGTAAATATGCTCTTGTGGTTTGAATCACCAATTTAGATAATTGTTTGTTTTTTTTTAATTAAATGTATAATCAGCAAGCCTGCACTTTACAATTTTTTTTTCCTATGTAGGCAGAGCCAAGGTTTGTTTTTATTTGGGGGCATTTTAGTTTAAGATTGTGGAATAATAGGAATAAAAATACCTTGCGGTGAACACTGTAGTTCTCATTTCTTCAGTTTTCTAGTAGTTTCATACCATCCATCAGACACTGAAAAAAATGTTCCTTTGTCGTTGGATAAACTTTTCATTTGCTTAAAAATTTTCTATTATAGACCCTACTTAAGGAACCAGAGGATATAAGTAAGAAAAACACATAGTTATTTAAAAATAAGTATCTAAGAGCATAATTTCAGTGGGGTGATGAAGCAGTCTTGGAGCAGTGGACATGATGAATAAAGGGCCAAGGGTGGTATGGTTTGAGCCCCCTCTCAAGTAGGCCTTCAAATGGTAAACATAAAGCTATAGCCAGAAAACAGAGAGGATTTCTGGGAATTAGAAATAGCATATGTAACAAACAGAGATTCCATGCACCAGGTTTTGCTTAGGGAATGAAAAAGAAGTCCAATATGATCAAATTACAGAGTTGAAGGTGCTGCGGTATTAGGTAAGCTATATAAGTTACCAAACTTGGAATTGTGATGTCTTTAAGAGATGGCTTGAATCATTGCATTTACTCCACTAATGTGTAGAATGAAAACATTACATCTGTTCACACCATGTTCTCATTTATTTTCTTTAATTTCTGCATTTTACAATGCATATAACATAGCAGTATGGTTCTGTAAGTGTTGGATATTGTGAACTCTCTTCCTCCTTCAATGATAGGGATGTGTAAATTAAACAGTAATTGCCATTTTCCTGGATGGGTGGACTGGCGGTGGTAGTGTTAGGAAATGTGCCAAGAAGTGCAGCCTAGAGATAACACATAAAAAGTATGTTATATATAGCATTAACACTAATAATTAACCGAATGTTGTTTTGGAAGGTAAGTGTTTGAAGTATAAACCTCATAGTCTGAGGTATTTTTGACAAGGCCAGGCTCTCCATAGAGGAATGGAAGTCAAAAGATTGAAAGACTAGAACAGAGCATCTGTAGTGTCCAATGTTTAAGAAATTAATGCTTATCGTTTCTCTTCCTACTAGAAGATTTTCTCACCCTTGACACTTGGTATTTTGGACTACTTTTTCACTGTCTAGATATTTCTATTCCTTTGGGGAAACTTAATAGCATACCTGGGCCCTACCTTCAGCCGCAAGTAGCAACACCAACTTGATAGTTAGGACAGTCAATAATGATTCTAGATAGTGCCAATTGTCACTTCAAGGGTAAAATAACCCCTGTTGCAAAAATCACTGCTCAGGGGCTGGAGAGATGGCTCAGTGGTTAAGAGCACTGGTTGCTTTGGCAGAGGACCCAGGTTTAATTCCTTGTACTCAGATGGTGGCTAACAACTATCCTTAACTCCAATTCCAGGGGAATCTGATGCCCTCTTCTGACCTCCTCTGGTACTGCAAAACACAGCTACACTTACACACCTGCAGGCAATACACTCATATACATTAAAAATAATTTTTTTAAAAAAGAAAGAAAACCACTGCACTAGAGCACAGCTGCATGGTGGCTGGGCCAGGGTTTCTCTTTGCCTCTAGTATCTCTAGTGCACATAGCCTGACATCCAGGGGCACTCATGATATATTTTTCTTGAATGAATAATGGAATGAATTATAAAACTCAATGACATTCAAAATAAAGTACTGAAAGTTTCTGTGAACTTAAGTGCCTTCTGTGACAAGAGACTCATGCTATGTGTCTTCTGTCTTCTGATTTGCAGGTGGATTTACTGTGAAGACCAGGCAATTGACATTTATAAACTCTACCAATTTAGTAGCATTTCCATTTCCTCATGCCGCAGTTTTGGAAGACTTGGATGGGTCCCTGTCTGGGAAAAATGGAAGTCACATTCTTGCTTCTATGGAGACTCTCTCAGCCTCATGCTTGGCCAATAGAAGTGTCAGTCAGATTGTCCCCGGAAGTATCTGTGGGGAACGTGTTCTCTTTCATCGCATGTCTATTGGTTTGTAAGTAGAATTAACTACTACTACATATGTCAGCTTGCCAATGGGCATGTGCATGCCATTCAGGCTTTTGAGTTTATAGAAAGGAAATTGTTTTCTAGTTATTTATTTCTATAATAGTGAAGTGGAGATAATTTGGTAACGGTGAAATCATGAATTTATGGTAGTTTTCAGATGACTCAAATGGCAGTTGTCAGTATCTTTGGATCAAATGTCATAGCCCATGACCTCTTACTGACATTTTAAGTTAATAGCTTCTTCTTTAAAAGACTTGAAAGCAACAAAGAATTTGAAATATATTTAAATGAAAAGCATTATTAAAAAAATTCCAATAATGCCATTCTCATTTATATACATGTACTTTCCCCAAGCTCTTTTTAAGTGCTCAATATGCTCCAGGGAAGCAATTGCTGATGCCTCTTATTACTTGCCAAGTTGCTTCACTCCAGTTCATTTTCCTTGTTAATTTCATGAACTATTGGATTCGTACAATACCTTTCCTATTAATATTGGGGCAAGGACTCCTTGGTTATGCTACTCAGACTACCATTAAGTCAGCAGCTGGGCTGTTTATAATGCATAATAGGATTGCTTCTGCCCTCTTTAATTTCCAGGTAATGATTGCTGAGTGTCTAGGGTTCTCTCTTTTACCTATTTCAAATGCATTGTATATATTTAGCCACACTTATCTCCTTCCTTTAAGTATCCTAACTCCATGAATATTAAGCCAAGTAATTCAGTCAGACCACATTGGCAACTTATGTGAACCGGGAAGCTCTAGAGAGGAGAAACACTGTGGCCAGGATTGCACTAAGTTTGCATATTGAATCAGTATCTTGTCAGATTGTTTTGGAAGACTTAACAATACAGTTATCTTTGAATAGTCCAAATATTTTCATCTTCTGCTTTCCAAACTGTTCATTGTTCTGTTTAATGTTAGAGGGCCCAATTCCACTGAGTAAAATAACAAGAGTAGGGGGATATATTTTCATTTCTAATTTTGATTGATCAGAGGATAACTTTTTCTTCATTCTCAGGAATGTAGCCTGCTTTTTATTATTACTTTAGTGCTTTTGCAAAAGTTTACTTTAAGGAATATTAGGGATGTATGAAAATTAAAGGTATGTCTTTAATCTGACATTCTCCAGTGCCTTTCTTTGAGGTGTTCTTAGGCAGTCTCTTGGGGGAACAGTTGTGGTGGTGAAGGCTCTGCAGATCTTTAGGTTTGTCACAGCATCTGTTCTTTGAGATCTCCAAGGCAACAGGTGATGATCTTCCCACTCTGGGTTAGATGAGTTCAAGAAGATGAGAGTCCCAATGCTATATCCTAAGTAGAGTCAAAAGAACTCCCAGTAGGGTGAACTAGTTACCCCATTTTTATGATTGTTTTTCAGTTTTAAAAAAGAAAAATTCTGTGTCCTAGAAACCTTTGTGGTACCATGAAGTTCTGGAAGACTGGCCACCCGTCTACCCAGACTTCTTACTAGAACTTCAGGTCAATCCACAAGTCTATGCACAAACGCCCAGCTGTCTCAAATTAGCCTCAGGGAAACCTTGGTGTGCTCCTAGTTGTAAGTCTCTTGGTCCTTGTCTCCTCACTCTAGGAGAAGGCAGTTGGATTAGATGAGCTCTAAGGCCTTGCAATTCAAAGCCTAGTCCCTGGGTTAGCACACAGAGCAGCAAGGAAGTCTTGAAATTTAGACATCCTCAGACATCCTGAATGAGAAAGTCCAGGTGATGCAGACAAACTTTTGGGCAGCCCTGCTCCTAGGTCCTTCTAGTTTTACCCTCTCTGATTCTATCCCTCCCTATTTGTGCTCAGTGGCTTGATCTTTGTCCCAGAGCATTATAACCTCATTAGGAACATGTCAGTGCTAATGAGCAATTTGAATTCAGCTTAGATATAAACTTTGTTGTGTTTCATGGAGAAAGGATTAATTTGTTGTGCTATTTACCCTAGGGCAAGCACTGCTGTCTTCACTTTCAACTGTTACCCTCCTCTCTCAGCAAGAGGTCCCCAGAGGGCAGGGAGTGAGGCTTTATTTCCTTGCATAAACCAAGCACTGCCCTCCCTCCAGTCGTACTCAGTGCTGGGATTTCTTCTGTGTTAGCCCCCTCCATACTTATACTTACTCTATACTTTTCACTATAAGTAAGTTTTGTGTCCTTCTGTTTCTGCCTCTCAGTGCTTTATTTGCATCTGATAGGACCCACGTTGGTGGCACCTCAGGGTTTTGGTTCTTGTGACTCAACACTAGCAGTTTGGTTGACAGAAGCATGTAAATATTTGAAGTTAGTCATAGTATTTAATATTTAAGTGAAGAACAGCCTGTTGCCCTGTACAAGGCAGAGTCAAGTTTATGATTTGCTAAAATGATAGCAAGCCTCACCTGCTTCCTCTTCTGCCGATGTTGTAGTAGTGTTGTTTCCCAGCTGCTGTTTCTACCTGCCTTATTTGGCAGACTTCAGTCTTTCTTGGGAGATACGGGTAATGATGTCGTCAGGAACTCATTTCAGAGAAGCATGATGTTTTTCTGCATTGGTCCCCTGGTGTTGACAGGGCTCACATGATTGTTAGATTTTTTTCATTAAAAAAAAAATCTCGTTTTATTTATATTGAGTGTGTGTGTGTGTATGTATGTGTGTGTGTGTGTGTGTGTGTGTGTGTGTGTGTGCGCGCGCGCGCACACAGTGCAGGTGTGGAGGTCAGAAAACAAACGGTTGCAATCAGTTCTGTCTTTTTGCCATGTGGACTTCGGGGCAGCCACCTTTACCAGCTGAGTTATCTGGCCAGGCTTAATCTCCCCTGCCTGGCTTTTTCCGCCCCCCACCCATCGCCGAATTTACATAATAGTATCTTCTACTTTTATGTATAATTGATACTAGGGAAAACTGGGTCCCATTTCAGGGTTCTTTGTCTCATTCATAAAATAATTTAAGAACGGACTCAAAAGGAAGCTTTTGGACAATTTTGTTAGAATTAAAGAAAAATCCTCTGGGCAGGCAAATCGTAAGTCTCAGCAGCTGCCTTGAGGAGGAGAATGGAGGAGAGAAGGAAAAAGCCGTGAAGCCATGCCTGTTTAGAGTAGTCATGGAAGTCAGACACATGGCAGACTAGCAGGTTGAAAGGGAAAGGGAAATTTAGAGAAAAAGAAACCCAAAATGTTGGGGCAGCCCAAAGCATTAGAAAAAAACATGCTTAGAAAAGAGATAAAGAAGAAAAGGAGAGCTAGTGAGTCTGTGTTCTGGTCCAGAAATACTGCCCTAAGGGTGGGGAGTCCTGGCGGGAAAAATTCATCACCTCATTTACCCACTAAATTCTAAAGGCTTCTCTTTAGCATGACTTAAGGTGAACACACCTTTCTGGGGGCTTTGTCCTGACCAGGTGATTGACCTGAAAAAACTGGAAAGTTTAGGTTCCACCGAGGTCAGAGATTCTTAATGTTCTTGACTAGATTTCTGTTAGAGGAATTTTTTGCTACAGTAACATTATTGCACATTATTACACAGAACACACACACACACACACACACACAATTCTTGACCTTCTTTGTAAGCTCTTCTCTCTGTTATTTTAATCCTGGTATCTTTTTGGAATCTGTGAGCTTTACTTTCCCCTCAAGCCCTATATACTTCCCAAGCCACCTGAGTTATTTTTCAGTCAGTGATGGTTCCCAATTTTTTCTAGTCTGACTACTACACTCCAGATCTATTTATCTAATTATACTTAGAACCTACATTGCATGGTATTGTAGCTACTAAGAACATATGGCTACTGACTATATGAAATATTGCTAGTCTAAAAGTGAGGTGTGCTGAAAGGATAAATTATACACCCTATCTCTATGACATCAAAAAATAGTGTGGACTGTTCCAGTGATTTGCTCATACTAGTGATACTGAAACTAGATCTTGGATTTGTTGTTGCTATGTGATTCAATATAATTTCACTGCTCCTTTTCACTTTCAAATGTGGGTACTACAAAATACAACAATCTGTGAGCTTGTTATGACATTTTCAGACATACATGTACTGATACTTTGTTCTTACTCATCTCTTCCCCATTGCCTACCCTCATCCCCTGACCTCCTCTCACTGGTCCCGTTCTTCCATTTGATGATCCCTTTTCTACTTTTCTCTCTCTCTCTCTCTCTCTCTCTCTCTCTCTCTCACACACACACACACACACACACACACACACAAATCTAGATTCGTATATGAGAGAAAACATGTGGGACTTGTCTTGATTCACATTGATTTCATTTAGCATAATAATTTCTAGTTCCATCTATTTTCCTGAGAATGTCATGATTTTACTTTTCCTTACTGCTGATTTCCATTGTATAAATGTACCACATTTTGTTTATCTATCCATCTGTTTGTGGTTATCCAGGTTGATTCCATTTCTTAGCTATTGTGAATAGTATAGTCATCAACATTGAATGTGTAAGTATCCATTTGGAATGTTAACTTAGAATCCTTTGGGTCTTTACTTAGGAGTGACAGTTCAGTCATATGGTAGTTCATGTCTATAGTTTTGAGGACTTCCATCCTGACTTCCATAGTGTCCCTATCAGTTTAACATTCCTACTAGCAGTGAATAGATGGTCTTTTTTTTTTTTTTCACATCAACATTGGCATTTGTTATTATTTGTTATGGTGATGGCCAATTTTATTGTAGAAAGATGGATCTCCAGGGGCTGGAGAGATTGCTCAGTGGTTAAGAGCACTGGCTCCTTTTGCAGAGGACCTGAGTCTGGTCCCCAACACACACAATCATCTATAACTCCAGTTTCAGGGACTCTGATGCCTTCTTCTGGCCTCTGTGGGTATTGTATGCATGTGGAGCATATGCTAGCAAAGTACTCATACAGTTAAAATAAAAATAAATAAATTAACAAAAAATTTTAAAAGAATGGAATCTCCAAGTAGCTTTAATTTGTGTTAGCCTGGTGATGAATGATGTTGCACAATTTTTCAAATGTTTATTAATCATTTGCAT